CATGTGTGGAGTTGAAGTCCACATACAGTACGCTGGGTGGAGAATTCTGGGAGTTGAAGTCCTCTAGACGACAACTAATGTTACTGTAATATTATTCGATTTATGCTTGGCTCTTCCTATGGATGTTTCAAATTGTGTCGTGGTTTGGATGGTTATGACGGTGGCAAATAAAATAAGAAAACATCTGTTAATAAATACCAGCCTGCACCATTTTGGTACCCTCCAGATCTGTTGAACTTCAAGTTCCATCAGCCCTGCTGGCTGGGGGTGATGGAAGCTGAAGTCCAAAGCAGCTGGAGGGCAGCAGGTTAGGAAAAGCTGGCTTACGGCCTTCCTGCCCTTCTGGCTGAAGGATGCTGGTCCCTTGCTGGGGGCCCAGAGGCCAAGGGTGGGTCCTGCCTACCTCGTCAGCCAGCTGCCGGCTCTCCTGCAGACGCTTGGTGGCGAGGCGCTGGTGCTTGGCCCTTTCTTTCGCCAGCTCCTCTTCCAGACTCTGCACCACCTTCTTCAGAATCTTCACTTCTTTGAAGCCGCTGCTCTTGGTGGCCAGTTTGAGCTCCTCCTGCGAGTTCAGCAGGACCGTCTCCACCGACTGCTTCTCCTCCAGAGCGCGCTGCAGCCTGAGGAAGCCGAAAGAGGCGTGCTTGCAAGAGCTCAGCCTGGGCTATCACACCACGGGGGTTCAGCAAGGCCAAAGCGAACGCCGAAGCGAAGCCTTTGCAAACGCAGCACTTCTGCTCTGGCCAACTCGATGAGTGACCAAGATCGGTCAGGAATCCCTGAGGGAAGGCTGGCCACAGTTGTTGTCTCTTCCGGGCTGTCCAAGATTTGATACTTGGGAAGCTGTTTCTGAGCACCTCTCTCTTCCTACCTAAAGGCACTTCCACCCTTGCTAAGACCCAGGAGAAGAACAGCAGAAATCCAAGAGGCTCCTCGCACTTAACCTCCTGGCTCTGAGCCCTTCGGGCCCCCCATTCTAAGCCTTCGGGTACTCAGAGGACGGTGGTCTGATCCACTGCTGCTGCCCTGCTCAGACTCCTGCCCGTCTGCCCCCCTCCCCTCTCTCACTCACTCCTCCCGAAGCCGGCGGATCTCGACGTCCCGGAAGTCCTTGCCTGGCTTAGCCTTCAACATGGCCAATTCCTCCTTCAGCTCCCGGATCACTTTCTGCAGAATGACGGGATCTGGCTTCCCTACGTAGGGCAGCGGTAGAGGGTAATGGATCCTGCCGGGAATCAAGACAACCAGGCCGCAAGTCAGCAAACAGTGAAGACTGGGAGAAAAGGAGAGCTGAATGGGCCACTGTCTCCTCCTCGGCTGGCCTGGCTAGCAACGCCCAACAGGATTGCAGCCTTCTAGTCCAGGCGGGGCTACAAGTCCAGCTCCTATGTTGACCTTTCTTGACCTGTGGGAAGCGGTTCCACCGTGCCAGCAGCGGAGCCATGTCTGGTTTTTACGGAGTGCCACCCCAGCTGAAGCGGCCCAAATTCTCCACCCGCCATTCCTGGATACCTCGTCAGTGACACAACGGCCTCTAAATACTGACCGCTCAAGATCTGGACACAAATTCAGGATCGCCCCTGAACTTGCCTGTCAAATTCCACTGAGTAGATCAGGATGAGGTAGCGCTTGGAGTTCAATGGAGAGCTTTTGGTGGCCGGTGGATGCCGGGGCCCCACCCCGATTTTCCTGTTCCTCAGAGCCTCCAGGTCTGCGTAGGTGAGGAGATCCAAGGTTACAGACTCACTGCTCTGTTTAAGGAGAAAAAGACACCTCGCCCAGACTCATTGACACAGCCAGCTTTCGGACTTCAAAGCCTCTTCACTGGATCAAGCCCAACAGCCAGGCAGCCCAACCTTTGATTATCAGCAGAGGACAGCCCGGTGCCAGCCCGGGGGTGAAACACGTCTCATGGAAGAAGTTCCCTTTAACCCTCTTCAAGAACGGATTGCTTCCGCTGAAGTCTGGTTCCATGCACATATAAGGAACTGTTGGGGGCAGGTAGGATGGAGGGCTCGGAAGCTGGCGGAACCCTTCCCTGACAAACATCTTCCCGGGCCCACTCAGGGTCTGAATTTAGAAAGAAAAGACGAAGGAGCAGCGCACGCCGGAAGCCAATTCGTGCCTCACCTGGGCCAGGGCTGACTCCAGCATGCTGCAGAAGATCCCAAACTGCTTGAAATTCCCTGTCTTGTGGGTGAGGTCTTCAATAACTGCAGAAGAAAAAAACGAAGGGAAAGAGAGATCTGAGTTTCTGCGGAAATGGCCACAGCTCAAGAATGTGGCATTTCCAACCAACACCCGGCGTGTTTCTGTAACTCCGCAATCGCTGCTCCAGCCCTTTGCTCCAGGTGGCCAAAGCAGCAGATGTCAGCAAACATCTGCATGTTCTGAGTTAAAGCAAGAGGCTGAGCCCCTAGTTTTCCTTGACTTCACACTTCTTCCCAAAAGATCAAATGAGGGTGCTTCTTGACCATCACAGACCGAATGACTATGGAAATTGCCCAGGTCTGCTCCCGCAAGGCTTCCAAAAGACTCGGGCCAGCCTTAATACGGACCAGGGTTCCTCCCGGAGGCTTTTCTCCACGGTCACCCAAGCGTCCCCAAGCCTTCTTGCATCGCCCTCCAAGACTCACAAGCAGCGTCAAATTCGCCTCGCCACTGGTCGGTGGTGCGTCGGTCTTCCACTTCCACTTCCAGAAGGTTCCCTTCCGAGGTCATCCGAACGGCATGCTCTACTCCACGGAAAACGTAATCGACTTGCAGGCCGTAGTCGGGTTGCTTGGCCATGGCGGGACCGAAGGCTCACAGCCGCTTCGCAAGACGAGCTTGCTGCCTGTCTTGGGAGAGGAGAGAACATTTCTGCCGGCACCCGAAGGCGAAAACAGCCTTCCCGTTTGCAGAAGCAGAGACTGACACGCATCGTGGTTTATGAGTCTCCTTCTCGGACCAGGCACAGGATTCCTGCGTGAGCTTCCATGAACCTTTCAGCTGGGGGAGGGGGGCAGCCACCAGGATTTTCCCCCAAGAACGCAGCTTGGCTTTTTGGCTGGAGTCAGCTACTCCAACGGTTCTCCAAGAGCTTTTCTGCATTTGGCTCGTGAGCAACCCAGCCTGGGAGAACCAGTGTCGGATTGAAGGGAGCGTTACAAGCTCGAGGAGAGGAGATTCCCTCTCTGGCACAAAGGGAGATGCCAAGTGGGTTCCTACGAGCAAAGGATTCATGGGATCTACGTGCAGGATCTAGAGAGCTGCTACTGGGTCAGGTTGTTTAGGGTTCAGCCTCAGTTAAGGACGTGCTATTCGCACAACCTGCAAAGCCACGTTCATTTTAGCCGACCGTCTGATTTTGCAGCTTAATGGGCTTACATGCCCAGCCCATTTGGTGGGTTTCAACGTCCTGGGCAAACCAAGAAAGTGGGTTAATTCAGTAACCCAGTTAACCCCGTTGTGTGAACCCAAGTGACGAATCCCTCCATCCCTCTGCGATGGGGGGGATATCTGGGAAAGGGGATCCAATGGGTGGGCTAGTCTGGGGAGGGGGGGCGCTGAGAAAGCGGGCAAGGGCAGACTGGCTGGCTGAGGAGGGGGCAGCTGTTCTACACCGGACTACACTGCCCATCATCCAGCACGGCCTGAGTCCCCCGCTATGAGCCCCCATCAGCCCCCACCTTGCCTTCCGCAGAGGCCGACGGAGGTCAAGGGACTGGGGGAGCCGTACCTCAGGGCAGGCCGGGTGCGGGTCGGACTACACTTCCCATCCCCCCCAGCCACAGGCGCTCGAGGG